AAGCCATCTCTGAAAAATTTCAATTGAATCACGAAGAACTTGCAACCTGCGCTCTGATACCACTTGTTGGAACCGATGAAGACAACGTAAGAATTAAGATTTGATGAACCCAGTATGAAATATAAATAAAGATCATAAAATAAACAAGAACAAGGTTAAAGTAAAAGACCAAAAGACAATTTAAGTAGAGGAACGATTTTATTTTATTCATAGACTATGAAAGGAGAGAACTATAGCAATTGTGGCTTCACCAACACTAGAAAAAGGAGTCTATATTTATAGTACACAAGACAAACCCTAAAAATAGGACAAAATATGCAAACTAGGTTAAAAATGCGTAAAATATACAAAATCTGTCGAAGCCAAAAAACAAAACTATGCGGCTGCATGGTTTAGTTCCATGTGATCGCATGGAGTAGACATTCGACAAGAAAAAATTCCCTGCAAGCATTGGTGCGACCGCATGGGTTAACCTGTGCGGTCGCATGCAATAGTCTCCGAGTAGGATTTTGTTTCCTTCTTCATGAATACTACTTTGATATCTTTCCATGCAAGAATTCCAATAGCCCAATAACATGACTTCGTGATCTTCTAACCTAATTTTGAGCCATAAAACTCAACGGATTCATTAATAACATTGGCCCCTAATCATATTATATAGATATGATCTCTCTTTACGGAGTTGTCTTATGTATAGCGGATGTTTCTTAATAGTTAGTAAACGCCAAAATTGATAGAGACGCCAAATTTGATAGTTGGGACTATCAATATTTTCAACCCATGTACAAATTCGATGATTCTAGAATTAATTATCATTTTGGCCATAGAAGCATTGAGTGAACAAGGAGTTGAAAATTTAAATTAAAAATCTGATTCCTTACGATCCATAATTAGCTGTGAATGGAACGTAGTAATTTATATTGTATGGACAAAAGCTGTCAATAGTAATTCAGTAAATTATATGGACTGTCTACATGTCCTGACAATTACTATTTGTTAATTGAACGTTGAATCAACTGAGTAAGATACATTGTTATCATTTTGTATATAGATTACCAGATGGGATCTTCATCTTTCACACCAATAGGAATTGGAATACGAGTTTTCAACCCATGATTGCTTTCATACAAAAAGTTTTTTCTTACCATATATCATGAAAATGGAACCCCGTCCCACCTTTAGATATAGCTGGGAAAGTAAAATTGTAATTAAAGATATATGATGAATTCTCGCCTTATATCTTTAGAATGGAACACTATTAATCAGTTTAACGTACACTAAGTGATGCCGAATAAAATGTTTTTATCTGTCTAGTTTTAATTCATTTAATAATCTTTTGTTGTTTTCTGTCTAGAATTTTATCTTGATTAGATAGGTTTCAAGAGTTTGCATTTATGCAAAAGATTAGTTAGGATTTATTGTTCAAAATATATTTGGCCTTCATGAGTTTTTATTATTGAAGAGTTTAGTTATGATTTGCTGTTCGAATAGGAAGTTAATTCGGATTTTATTGCAGATGGTTGATTTTGAATATTGAATAAAATCTTGAAGAATTGTTTTTAGTTATCCAGTAAATTCCTTATTCGTTGGCGTTTATTATTCTGCTTGCATTACTTGGGATTAGAGACAAGTCTACACTCCTTCCTAATGATGGATCAAGAAGGACAAGTGGCAAATCGTAGTTCCAAGGTTGATAATGGGGACAGTAGGGATGAATCGATACAAATCCCCTAGCAGTTTGAGGTTGTGGCACAAAAGGTGGCCATATTGATTACCAATCAGTTTAAAGAAATTCTTCATATTTACCATAATTTTACAGAGAATTGCACTACTGATTGCCAATGTGTAGTTCGAGCATCAAGTTGGTCACCAGATTTTATAATATTGGTGCTCAACCACAAATATAATGAGTCCAAATACCTATATTATCATGTTGCGATTCTCATTGAAATGTACCCTGTCAATAGCTCCAAAGAGTAGGACGTTTGAGATCTTGGAGTCAGTTTTTGTCTTCGAGGATCGTTGTAAAATTATGATGAAAATTTGCAGAACTTGCTTATTTTAGAGCTTATGGACCAAATTAACTTGAGCAATAGGTTGAGACCAGTGCTGCAATTTTTCCTATTTTTATAAGTTGCTACATGTAATTAAAAATAAAACTAAAATAATAGTAGTATTAGTAGTAATGATAATAATAATAGTAATTATTATTATTATTATTAACTCCCTTCTAGAAATGAAAATTGATTTAATTTATCTAGCGTTTGAAACTTGGGACCATAGTCCAAGTTTAAAAAATAGAGCAACAATTTCATGGAGACATCTCAGCATGAAATGCTCCACTTAACGTGTTGTTTCTCCCAATAGTTAAGGATGCAAATTAATTAATCGTTACAAACAGATGGTGGGCGATCTTTATGGCAATGAGCGAAGGGCACAAGATGGTGGATGCAGTGCAGCAAAACTGTTGCGAAGGTCATGGTAGCGTTAATCTCAAGCCTACAGTTGACAAGGTTGCAAACGAAGAACTGCTGCATAGATAATGATTTCGATTGTTATAGGGATGTTAAGATGAGTCCGATAAATCATTTTTCTTCCTTTATTGAGAGATTGTCTAGTCATAGTGTGCCTATCTTTGTTTTGGATGTTGATTATTAAGGGAACTATCCAATTTTTCATTTCTAAAATTATTGTGATGATTTTCTTAATATTGTGCCTAGTTTTGAAGTACGTGAGAAAAAAAGAATAATGTTATATAACCCAAGTTTAGATAGCGCTAGATGATATGTTGAATAAAATGTGAAATTAAATGGCTTATTTAATTTCACTTATCATTTAATGTCACATTAACGTTATCTAAACTAGGGTTGTAACCTTAGTAAGGCTAAATAGCATTACTCAGAAAAAAGTGTGTTTCTTAATTTTCAAAAAAGAGACAACACGTGAAGATTAAAGGAATGATGATTGAGTAAGCCATTGTCAAGCACTTGCACGGGTAATCCTTATATGACAAGGGTTGTATTTAGTCCATGTTTGATGGGTATTATTTATAAAAAATGATGTTTTAATTAGTGATCTTTTAAATAACATGTGATTGAAAAGTATGAAAACATTTTGGATTTACGTACAAAATATTTTATTGTGTTAATATATGATTAAATGGAGATAGACAATGGTTTAATTTAGACTTTTCTAGATTTAAAAAAATAATCTAGGTATATTTTTAAGACTACATAGAAGTTTCGGGTATTCCCTATGGACTCATTGAAAATGTTTAAAAGTCGGGGGTATAAAATAAAGACTTTTAAAATCTTAAAAAGTTACACAATATTCAAATCTTAATGACTTTTATGAAATCCTCCATGTACTAATTTTTGCTTAGAAAGTACAAATATAAAAATTTCATAAAAAGTCTTTCATTCATCCAAAGATTTTGAAAGACTTTCGTAAAAAAGTATTTTCAATCTATAATATTTCTTTTTCCTTTTTCGTTCTACAAATTGCAAACCTCATAGCCATGATCACTGTACTAAATAGCTCACCTATTTAACGCTTTTTAATGCATTTGTCTCACCTAATCTCGCCTAGCCCTTTAGCTTGGCATCGACGCATCGCCATGCATTACGCTATGTAGAACATTGGCCATGATACTTTATATCTTGTCAGATACCTCATCCCAACCCCAACAAGTGATATAAAAAAATACACAATCCTTGTTCAGTTTCTAATAGAATAATTGGTTGAGGATTTGAAATTTAAATCTTTTCGAATCCAAATATTAAGTGTATCTTCGATAGTGTGTATTTTTTTTTTCTTTCGAGATTATCAGCTGTAAATTTTATGAAATGAGTGGATATAAAATAGATATAAATTATAAATCCTACAAATTGTGTGAATAGAAATGATGTTTGACCATTCAGTAAATTAAAAGTTTTGCCAAGCATGATAAATAAAAAAATGTGAAAAAAAATAAAATAAAATTATGCTACGTTAGAAAGCTATCAATAGTTGAATAATGGTTATACGATTCAACTATTCGAGAATCGCATCGTTAAGTGAGCTGTAACAAAGCACACTATAAGAGATTCTCTTCATTTATGATTTGCCAAGTGGGATGTCTCTTGCGAATAGGTTTTAATTTTAATTAAAATTTACAGCTAATTACATCTACATGGACCCAAAAACAATAATATATATATATTGTGGATGCAGTACAGCAAAACTGTTGCGAAGGTCATGGTGGCGTTAATCTCGAGCCTACAGTGGACAGGGTTGCAAACGAAGAACTGCTGCTTAGATAGTGATTTCGATTGTTATAGGGATGTTAAGATGAAGTTCGACAAATCTTTTTTCTTCCTTTATTGAGAGACTGCCTAGTAATAGTTCAATAGGAAGTTAGGATTCTAATGTATTATTCACCTAATTGGTTAATTTCGTAAACTAATTTCATTTTATTATATGCATCGCTAACAATGAAGAAGAATCCAAGTTAGCTTGCAATTCCATGAGTTCCTGGAGAGAACGCCGCGGCTTCACATTCTGGATGCTTCGCATAGGAAATGTTGTAGTTTCCGCATTGATATGTTAATTTAATGAAATCACTCAGTGTTAGACGTAAAACAAGTGCTATGTGAGTAAAGGAGATAATCTTCTGCTCCCGATCGAAGAAGTTAGGAAGGTAATTAAAGAGATTAGCAGTACACCACCCACCTAGATTCGATGATGTTACAAAAAGCAGTCCATTGACTATTACTGCCTTCAGACTGACATCACTGAAACAAAACAAAATTTAAGTGATTAAATTATAATGTTCAACAAACACGAGAAATTTTGGTTTAAGTGACTCGCAGCTACTTCAATTATACCATTGAGAACGTGGTGATTTATTTTATTTATCTGAGGGCCCAGTAGAATTATAAAGAGTGGAAAACGCTGTTCAGTTTGTATCAACTGTAATAAAGCAAGCTTACAGCAATTGGAAATTTCAGTTCTTGAACCTAATGGCAGACCCAAACCTTCCAGCAAATAACGCCAGCGATACCAAACGTCAAAACTGCCAAATGCGCACAGTGCCTGAACTTGTGCGATTCAATAAACACACGAAGGAGGATTACTACACTCCTAAGATGGTTTCCTTTGGCCCTTATTACCATGGCTTGCCAGAACTTCGCATTGCAGAAGAACTCAAGCGTAAAGTCCTTGAGGAATTTGTTTCAAGCACCTGCATAAAATCACTCGAGAACCAGATCTTAGGAGTGATCGACCAGATCAGAAATCGCTACGTTGGGGTTTCTAAAATTGCATATGATGATAAAGAACTAGCAGAAATGATGCTTCTAGATGCATCTTTCGCTATTTATATCATGAAGATTGAATTGGGATGCAGCGAAACATTCGAACACTCCCGTTGGCATCTTGGAATAGCTGCAACGCCATGTTTATCCGAGGATCTGATTTTATTCAATAATCAAATTCCACTCCTGGTTATTAAGCTCTTGTGTGATTTAATGCATGGAAGTCGATGCACTTTAATTTATGACTTCTTAAGTTTCTTTATTTTTAGGAAGAAAGAGCTAATAAGAAGAATTCCTGGAGAAGACGAATGGCAACCACTGCACCTTTTGGATGCTTCTTATCAACTACTTGTCAAACACGGGAATGAAACAACCCAAGAAAATTCAAATGAATACGATCGTCAATCTCTTTCAGTCACCGCACTCAAAGCAAAGGGCATCCACTTCAAACCTAGTTCATATAGTTTGAAGGATATTAAGTTCGAATCCTTCAAATTTTATGGGCAACTTCAACTCCCGATTTTCTTTTTTAATGCTAATTCCAAGCTAAGATTTACGCAAATGATTGAACATGAAATGACTCTAGAAGAAGAGTATGACTTTACTTTTTTATGTTATGTTAATTTCATGAAGTCGCTCATTGTTAAATCTGAAGATGTTAAGGAACTGCGAGAAAAGAAGATACTCTTCAGCGACCTCGACAGTGATGAACAGATTGTGGAAGTAATCAAAGGGATTGATACTCACAGACTTGGAACTGACTTCCTTTTTGATGAGGAGAAGAAGAAAATTGTGAAGCACTGCAGCAGCAAGGCAAAAACATGTATTGCTGAACTATTTCACACTCATTTTCGCAGTCTGTGGACTTTTATTGCCTTACTCACTGCCACTTTTCTTCTTTGCTTAAATTTTCTCCAGACCTATTACACAATGAATCCTCCCAAATAAAGGTGTGTGCCAAATTATGTTCTTCAAGTTTTAGTTGAGTGTAAGATCCTGTGGGCTCATGGGGCTCATGGGCTGGTTTGTCTTCCAGTATTGGGTCAGTTTGTCTTCCTATTAATTCCTTCAAGTATTGTATTGGGTCACTAGTTAATGAAGTCTAATGGGTTATGCTTAACCCAGTCCAGTAGTAGGAATAAATGCCAGAGTTGACTGAGTCCACAGTCATATCCGAGTCCATAGGAAGAATCTGTAGTGCAGTAGTCATGTTCCTTACTTTTCTAAAGTGGAGTCTGTTAGAGGAAGACGTGAGGAACTGGAAGTTGTTGTCATTTGTTTTGTGTTTAACCTTGAAGACATATGAAAAAAGCGGCTATCTGGCAAGTTGCACCATTACAGGTGTTTGGAGGTGAATCCCCTCGAAGTGATTCAGCATTCATTGTTCATTTTCACTCATATATCAAGTTGATTCTTAACAATGAGATGTGTTTTGACTCTTCCATTTAAGAGTGATTTGATGCTTTTGAACTCATTGTATTATTCTATGTTTGTATTTTTATAATTCAAATCTATCAAAGTAGTATTATAACACCTATTTATCTAATGACAGAGATTGAAAACAATGGTTGTATGTTCTTGAATTCATATTTTGAATGCTGAGAATCGGAAGACAATTTATGCCCTCAAGATGTTAGCTTAATTGCCTTCTCTAGAGATTTCATTGACAATACCATAGTTATCAGAAAGAAAAGTAAGAGAAGGGCCGGCAAAATTATTGCTTCTAATCAATTAACTTTATATATGATAATTAATCAGTTGTTCAAGATGAATTGATAGATACATCATCTTATGAAAGGAAAAACTAATAGTGCAAGGACTAAGGGAAGTAAGATTGGGAAAGAATTATGTTTGTTGGTACCTATAATACCCGTAACTTCACATTGCACTTTGGGCCAATATGATTCATGCATTTCATGCTACTGACAATGTCACTTGCATTAGTTTTCTTAATTACTTTCTCTCAAAATGGTGCATTCGATTATTGAGATTTTAAGATTTTAGTCTTTGACTCTTCGACCTAGGTTGTGAATTTTACATTGAGCTATAATAGAAAATTAGGTTAATCTAGATGTTGGATATTGATAGGTTAAATGATTGTGATCTTGAAAGTGCTGGAATGATCATCGATAAAGTTACTCGCTTTAATTTGGTTAATCATGGTTACTATAAACCCTAACTAAGTCTTTAAGATATTCGGGATATGAGGCATGAAATGACATGATCACGGTGCAAAAATATAAGTCTTATACGATGTTACAAATATTGATTTGCGAATTGTGAAATCGGTAGAGAATAGGATGTCAATTGGGTAAGTAATGAAATGAACGATTAAGGAATTGGCTCTTTAATATATTTTGGGCTATTAGAGCAAGTAAAATGAATTTTAAGATATTAAAATAAGCCAAGGACACTTGATTTGTACCTGCATGGATAGATGTAAAATTGGATTTTACTATAAGGAACACCTCGATGCGTAGTACACGTCATGCCTATTGATATGTCTTTGTAATGGTCAATTCCTTCACTCCTAAGCATTAGTCACGTCTACCACTCCTTTAAGACTTCTTATATGTGGTATATTATCCCTAAATTTCATGCAAATCCTCCAAGGATAAGTAGGAAATCAGGATTTAACCAAAAGGAGACACCACCTACTTACCATGTTACGACTCGTCACTCTTAACATTAATTTCCTTCAACCTTAAGCCTCCAACACGTCTCCCAAACCCTTGGCATCTTATATAAGATAGATATAATTCCTATAAGTCAGATGGCTCATATAGTGCAAGGGAAAAGTCAAAGTTGGCTGCAAGAGACCACAACCTATTTGGGCACCTCATGCTTGAATCCACTTGTCCCTTACATTTTCTGAATCCTTAAGGAAGAGTCACGCCCCCAACCCCTCTAAGACTCTATGTAAACCTCGTACAAACATGTTTAGCCTTCCAAGTTATCCCCAATTGACCATCAATTGAAAGAGAAAGCAAAAAGGGACGGAGTGCGGCAGAAAATAAGAAGCTACTATTGCAATTTGAGGAGGTGAGTTTAGGTCACAGTTTTGAAGTCTTCCTTTAGTTCTTTTGGTTGCTTCATAGTCTGTTAAAACTCTAAAATTTCTTGAGGTTAAGTAAGAGGGTTTTTGATGATTTTATGATGGCAAAATGGGAGCAATTAACTACAAAAACATAAAACAAGACAACCTGGACATGCAGAGATATGGTTGCCAGATTTGAATGATTTAAACTTTGATTTTAGATAATACTTAAGATATAAATTGTATCTATGTAAATGAATGTTGTTATATGAGAGTTAGAAGAATAAGAATGGTCTTCTAATAGCCTGGAATCTGATTGGTGGCACGCTAATAAAATGGAAACCGAAAACAGTCACAGGGAAAAATTGCCTGATTTGGTGTAGTGGAAAATGGACGGTTTTTGAAGCTGGAAACCTTCATTTGTCACAATATTATGACCTGTTTATCTTCACATATATGTTATAAGTGTGTGGTAAAATTTTGGAGTCGTTAAATGGAGTTAAGGGCATGAAAAAAGAAATCCAAAAATGAGTGGACGGTGATGGAAACCTAGAACCAGATTCTGTCCATTTACAAGTTTAAGGTAGTTTTAACCTTTATATATCCATCAATGATCTCTTGGGCCTAGAAAATAGATTCTAAGGAGTATTATGTTGTCAACAACAATTGGATGATGTCGATGCTCATAATTGGACTCGAGAAATAGAGAGATTTATGGGGTTAGTTTGTAATAACTTCGGTAACTTGAAATAATGATTTTGTCTAAATTGTTTTTAGGATTTTGTGGCTTAAGGTTATTAAATTGAGGATTGCCTTTAATATTATATGGTAATACAGGTGATTTTTTGATATTGAACGGAAAAGAAAACTGATACACACTCCGTAGGAGCTTGCACACACAAAGGTCAAAGTAAAAATCTATTTGCAACTACGATGCAAGAGCCTAGTATTTGTGATATGTTAATGTTGGAATAATTACATAACTTTGATAAGAGGTTTATTGCACATCATATGATGGTTATGATCGTTGAGTATACGATTGCGGAACTATTGACATCGATTTTCATTAAATGTCATTCATGAGCATTTTCATATGCATGCACGACATGTGATCATGGTTGAAAATCATGCATGCAAAACATGATTTCAAATTGAGCTTTTCTTTATAAACACTTTATTGACCACTACTAGGGCACCGAGGCAAGCGAGGCATGCTTATGTGATATATTTGGCATCGCGAGTGATACTTCTTCTGTGATTGCAAAGGTAGAAAGGGGATAAGCCTTTGGTGATTACGGGAGGGTGGACCACTTGACTATGCCCTTGTGATATTATGATTATTGGCACTGTCAGGTGAGAGACTTGGGTGATCATAGAGGCAGTTAGGAGATGGGCCTCTAGTGGTCATGAAAGGATGGTCCACTCACTGGTATTGATTTCATATTGGACGTTTGATTATTGATATTGATATTATATAGAGCTCAAGGGCCCAATGAAATGAAAATTTTCAAATGAAATGATTTTGAGTTGACTTTGATGAATATTGGAATATGATGCATCTTTATCGTGGCATATCTCATTATTGCTCATGACATGCATGATTTTTCCTTACTAAGCATTAGCTTATGTAGTCTTGCATTGTAGGTGAGCATGGAGTTACATAGAGATAATGGCTAGCTGTGGAGCTCTTATGGGATTTCAGAGTTTGATGTACATGGATGACGACCTGTAGGGTTATTTTGTGGGCTATCATTTTGAGCTTATGGTATATTAGGTTATATGTTGGGGATTTTGTGTTGTATATCTTTTGACATGACCTGTAGACTTGTTTATAACCTCAAAATATATATGTTGGATTATGATGATTTAATTTTGGTTTCGATATAATATATGATCATCATATGTGATTAGAAATTAACAAATAGGGACATACTTGTGAAAATGCTTATGTCGTGTTATTAGGTGAAAAAATATGTGGAATTCTATGTCGAGGTTGAGTCATCAAGTTCATTCCCACACAAGGTAATGTACAGTTATCTATATAAATGGGATTGTGACAGAGAGTGGTATCAGAGCTAAGTTATAATTTTGTAGACTGTCCATGTATATGATCTCGGAATACAAAAGAGCACAGCTATGCCAGTAAGTTTATTTGTTGCATTATTTTTCCATATTTCATGAATGATATTGGCCATTCTTTATTATGATTATGCTGTAAACTGGATATAGTCATGGTAAGAATTAGAAGTGAATATAGCGGGAAAAATAGAATTCCAAGGCAAGATTCAAGTACCCCGGATAATAATAGAGGTGTGTTTATTGATAGACTGATAAGACATAAAATGTCATGTTTTACATCCATTAATACTTGCATTTTTGTGATTAATTAACACCTAAATATACTAAGTACCCTTAAATTTTGATTTAGGTCGCAATTGGATGATTATGGCATAAATTAGAGGAAATGAGTGAAGAAAGACCAAAGTGAAAGAAATCAAAATTTCAAGGACTAAATTGCAAAAATCCAAAAGTTGAACCGGGAGACGAACGATGGAATGAAAATTCAAGAGTTTTAGAGGTCAAGTGGATGAAGAAATAAGTCAAAGAGGTGAAATATAGTCGAAGTATAATCACACATCAATTTCCGATCGAAAAGGTTATGCACTAATTTTTAGCATCATATTGGGACCCATTTTCGACATGGTAGACAATAGAAACGGAAGATGACCTCTGAAAAAAGTTGTAGATCTTTGAGTTAGCTTTCTATTGCAGCTTGAATAACCTCAATCGGATAGTAGGAGAGAAAGTTATGACCAAAATACTAAAATCTATCTAGCGGAGAAAACTTTATAACCATGCGATCGTACAAGCCATTCTAGCGATCTCAGTACCCTGTTTTGACATAACCATGTGGTAGTACACAATATAACCGTGCGGTCGCATGGTTGAAACTATGGAAACAAATCCTTTCACCACACAAATACCCTAATTCACCCTAGAACATGAGAGAACGCCCCCAACACTACTTTTCTCTCTTTGTGCTCAAGATCTATGATGTGCAACTAATTTCTTTTGCTTGATCAAAGGAGACAGAAGCTTTGGAACGATTATAACTGTGAAATTCACCTAATTTTATTGATTAATTCATATGCTCGGTATTAAATCTTCTTTTGCAATTATTTTATGATTGTTGTGTTTAATTTCTAGAGTGCACGCTAGTTTATTAATCTCTACAATCTATAGCTAAGTTGAATTTCAAAACTGTAATTGTTGATTGGTTTAACTTATGAAGCAACTAAGATTGATAATTTGCTGGTTGGAAATTATTAGGGAGAAAATTTATCTAGGTTAAATGCAAACGCTTGGCTTGTGTTATCTAGTTCATTGTTTTCTCTAATTCGTAAAGCCATTATTGAATTAAATTCTCGTGCTTGTCTAGGGTTGTTTGATAACGAGGATTAATTAGATCGCTTGTTTCTAATTAATTAAAACTAAGGAGAAATAGAAAAATTGTTTCGAATGGAAAATTTATTTTTCACAGTGAATGCTACAATTGTGAATTGATGATTATATGTGGATCAATTACCATTTAGTAATTTCCAATGGTGGATGTTGACTTAGATCAATGTTAGTTCTATTGATTTCATTTAATTCGATAATTTGCGTTTACATTAATTGCTATTTTTTGATAATTGTTTGTTTCAAAAAATCAAAACCCCCCTTCAGTTAATTTAGCATAAAAGATAGACTAAACACTTTTCGTGGGACCGACCCTTATTTCCACTACTACATTAATTTTAAGAAGTATAGGTTTTAATTTGAAGTGCCTACAACAGCACACACCAAATTTTGACGCCGTTGCCGGGGAGTGATATAGTTTATTTTTGTGCCTTTTATTTGTTTCATTAGTTTTTATTTTCAAAAAAAATAAAAAATCTTTTCTTTGTTTCTTTGGTTATTTTATGTAGCTTTGTTTAGTTTTTTTTATAGCTTCTTTAACTGTTTATGCCCTTAACTCGATCCTCTAACCGAGGTAATTTGCAGTACGATCTAGAAGTAGAAAGGACTTTGCGCAGGTTGAGGATTGACATGGCTAGGAATCAAACTTTGAAAGATCTTGCAGCTCCAGGTTTGCATCAACAACCCCTCTGCATAACTTTTCCTACATTAGATGCTGCCACCACTTTCGAATTAAAATATGGAATAATTCATCTTTTGCCTACTTTTCATGGTCTTGCAGGTGAAGATCCTCATAAGCATTTAAAAGAATTTTATGTGGTATGCATAAGTATGAAACCTACAGGGGTAACTGAAGAGCAAATAAAATTAAGAGCTTTTCCATTTTCCCTGAAGGACTCAGCTAAGGACTGACTCTACTATTTTCCATTTGGAGGTGTCACAACATGGGAGGAAATGAAGAGGTTGTTTTTGGAGAAATATTTCTCAGCTTCAAGGGCAGCAAACATCCGAAAGGCTATTTGTGGTGTAATGCAGGACGACAAAGAATCCTTACATGAATATTGGGAGCGTTTCAAGAGACTGTGTGCACGCTTTATTGATGCTGCAAGTGGAGGAGCTTTGGTGGATAAAACTTTCGAGGGCACGAGGAACGTGATTGCAAACATGGCAGCCAATTCTCAACAATTTGGCACTAGACTCGACACCCCTTCTAGATGTGTTAATGAGGTAAATGTTTCATCTCTTGAACAACAACTGGCGAGTCTAACCTCTCTTGTTCGTCAAATAGCTGCAGGTAATATGCAAACGACGAAGGTTGCAAATTCGTTCGATGATGGGGCATCCAACTGACTTGTGCCCAACTCTTCAAGAAGACCCCAATGAACAAGTTAATGCAATAGGTGGCTTTCGTGGACAGCCACAAAGGAATTATGATCCTTACTCGAACACCTACAACCCAGGATGAAGGGATCATCCTAACTTTAGCTACGGGAGTCGACAAGTGAATGAACCAATGCCTCCAAATCGCCCAAACTTCCAGCAATATAGGCAGCCATATCCTTCTAAACAACAACAGGGCCAAACTTCTAATTCAGGTATACCTTTAGAAGATATTGTTAAGTCTTTTGCCACTAACACTTTGCAATTTCAACATGAGATAAGGGCAAGTATTAAAAGTTTGGAGAATCAGATGGGTCAAATGGCAACCTCAATCAACAGGATGGAAGCACAAGGTTCAAGAAAATTACCCTCTTAAACAAAGGTCAATCCAAAGGAAAATATAAGTGCAATATTGTTGAGGAGTGGTAAGAATGTTGAAATTTCGAGGGCAGCCCCACATCATTGGAGCAGGAAAACAAGAAACATGCCACTGAAGAAAACATTGTTCCCAATGATGATGGAGCACTTAAAAGTAAGTTTCCATCCCTTTTTGAGTATAAACCGGTACCCCTTTTCCTTAAGCTTTAGCAGAATCTAGGAAAGATGAACCAAATGTTGAACTTTATGAAACTTTCCGTAAATGTGAGGTAAACATTCCATTGTTAGATGCTATTAAACAAGTACCTCGTTATACTAAGTTCTTGAAGGACTTGTGTACCATTAAAAGAAAACAGAAACTTAAAAGGTGTGAAAAGATAAATATAGGTGAAAATGTCTCTGTAATCATTCAACAAATACTCCCTACAAAGTGCAAAGATCCAGGCATGTTTACCATCCCTTGCATGATAGGTAACACTAGGTTTGAAAAGGCCATGTTAGACTCAGGAGCTTCTATTAATGTCATGCCATACTCTATCTATGCTTTTTTAAAACTTGGTCCTTTGAATGAAACTAGTGTGGTAATTCAATTAGCTGATAAATCTAATGCCTATTCTAAGGGTATAGTTGAGGATGTTCTCATGAAAAGTAATGATTTGGTATTTCCCGCTGACTTCTATGTGCTTGATATGAGATATAGTGATCAAACTACACCTATTTTGCTAGGAAGACCATTCTTAAAGACATCCAAAGCTAAAATAGATTTTTATAGTGGCATGGCATGCTTACTATGGAATTTGACGATAAACTCAGTGAATTTAATATTTATGATGCCATGAAACATCCTGACGAAACTAACCCCGTTTATTCTATTAAAGTGATTAATCATTTAGAACAGAAAGTTTTAGAACCTGATGAAAAAAATGCAATGAAAGTTGCCATTGATAAGCATATTGAGGAGGTGGATCAAGAGATACCCTCGAATACTACCTTGCAGGAAACCATTGTAGCATTGAATGCTTCTCCAAAGTCATCAAAGTTAGGTAAAAATTCGCATAATGTTTTGTCAGTTTCTAATAAGAGACCTTTCTACATAGGTTTCCAAATGGAGGCGGTGAGAACATGGGGCCTTGGAAACCCAATTGATGCCGGTTGAGGAAACAAACACTAAGTCTAGCCAAAGACAATAAACAAAGGCGCTGCTTGGGAGGCAACCCAAGGGAAGTTCGTTCATTTACATTTTATTTTCGTTTTCGTCTTTGCATTCATATTTTAGGTTAAATTTGTTCTCTTCTTTGCATTTCACTTTGCATTGGGGACAATGTAAATTTTAAATGTAGGGGAGGGAATTTAGGTTACTTTTGTTTTTAAATTTTTGATTTGGGTTATGCTTCCATTACTTTTGACAAGACAAGAAAAGAATATTTTTCGAAAAATTGGGAGAAAAGCTATGATTTTAAATGATTTTCGGTTGTGTGTGCTATTTGCAAGATTCAATTAAGTCTCTAAAGAGTGCATAACATGATTGAATAAATGATCTTTCCAGCTTAGAGTTAATTTGTTGAGTTATTTTCTTTAATGATGGTAGTAACCAAAATGTATAGACAAAAAGCCAGTGAGATTTTGAGCCTTTAAGACTGACACATCCGTATTAGTCTCACTATTTTCTTTCATGAGTGATTTTCTTCCTTGGTTTTGTTTATCTAGAACTTGCCTTGATTCTCTTCGAGATCATATTGATACATACATGCATGAACATGATTAAGGCCATCTTTGTTGCATAATTTAGCCACCTTAGCTAAATAGCCTACCCTAGAATTAATTGTCCCTTTGTTGAACCCCTTTGAGCCTTATAGCCTTTTCTTTTTAAACGCATGTACAAGCTTTAAATCTGAAAAGAAAAAACAATAATCTTACCCAAGCTAGAAAGCTATTGGAGTTTTGTTCATCATTTTGTTACATATTAGAGTGCGAAAGAAATAAATGTGGGGATATCTAAAATTTAGGTAGGACTATGATTGGTGGAATGGAACATGTTCTCAATTACAATGCATAAGTTTCATTATTAGTGTCATATTTTGAGAAACCAAAAAAAAAATGATAAAAAATATTGGAAAAAAAAGAAAAAAATTGAAAAAAAAAATAGGGATGAAAAAGAAAGAAGTGATGGAGGAAATAATTTTCAATGTTACAACATTATTTTATGCTCATGATTCCTCTTAATATATTACAAGAAGGGATTGTGTTGTGTGAAATAAATGAAGAAAAACAGTTAAGTGGAGTGGTGATCTTATAAGTCTTATATATGTTTGAGCTTGAGGTAATTCATTTTTCTTACTCCACTGGTTTCAATGGCTTTTGAGTCACTTATCCAAATACTTCCCACCTAGACCCTAAGCCACATTACAACCCATGGAAAAGACCTTATGATTTGTGCTATGCATGTGATTTAATTGGTGGAAAATGAGAAGATATGCAAGCATATAGTAGAACATCTCTATTGGAATGAACTTGAGTGAAACACTTACCCCTTAAACACATGAGAGTTGAGTGCTAATATTCCGTGAGAGTTTACATGTTTGGTTTACTCCATCTTTATTTGAGAATGCTTGCTAATTGGTTATAAGTTGTGTGAGAATATTTGTTCATGATGTGTTATGTGTTTTAACGAGTTTAATTGTTCTATGTTGATGGCATTGCAACTTTAACATTTTTGTGAAAGTGAATTTGAATTTTACTCGAGGATGAGCAAAAGCTAAGTGTTGGGGAATTTGATAAAATATACAATGTCATGTTTTACATCCATTAATACTTGCATTTTTGTGACTAATTAACGTCTAAATGTACTGAGTACCCTTATATTTTGATTTAGATCGCAATTGGATAATTATGGCATAAATTAGAGGAAAGGAGTGAAGAAAGACCAAAGTGAAAGAAATCAAAAGTTCAAGGACTAAATTGTAAAAATCTAAAAGTTAAACTGGGAGACGAACAATGGAATGAAAATTCAAGAGTTTTATAGGTCAAGTGGATGAAGAAATAAGTCAAAGAGGTGAAATATAGTCGACGTATAATCACACATCAATTTCCGATCGAAAAGGTTATGCACCGATTTTTAGCATCATATTGGAACCCATTTTCGACATGGTAGACAATAGAATCGGAAGATGACCTCTGAAGAAACGTTGTAGATGTTTAAGTTTCTTTCTAACACAACTTGAATCACCTCAATCAGATAATGGGAGAAAAATTTATGACCAAAATATTAAAAGCTGTCCGACGGAGAAAACCGTATAACCATGCGGTCGCACGGTTCATTTTCCATGCGGTCGTACAAGCCATTCCAGCAATCTCAGGACCCTGTTTTGACATAACCATGCGGTAGCACACAATATAACCATGCGGTCACATGGTAGAAACTTTTGACGCGATTTTTAGTTTCCTTTTTCCGTCCAACCATGTATGGAAACAAATCCTTTCACCACATAAATACCCTAATTCACCCTAGAACGTGAGAGAACGCCCCCAACACTACTTTTCTCTCTTTGTGCTCAAGATCTATGATGTGTAACTAATTTCTTTTGCTTGATCAAAGGAGGGAAAAGCCTTGGAACAATTATAAATGTGAGATCCACCTGATTTTTATTGATTAATTCATATGCTTAGTATTAAATCTTCTTTTGAAATTATTTTTATGATTGTTGTGTTTAATTTCTAGAGTGCACGCTAGTTTATGAATCTCTACAATCTATATCTAAGTTGAATTTCAAAACTGTAATTGTTGATTGGTTTAACTTATGAAGCAACTAAGATTGATAATTTGCTGGTTGGAAATTATTAGGGAGAAGATTTATCTAGGTTAAATGCAAACGCTTAGCTTGTGTTATCTAGTTCATTGTTTTCTCTAATTCGTAAAGCCATTATTGAATTAAATTCTCGTGCTTGTCTAGGGTTGTTTGATAACGAGGATTAATTAGATCGCTTGTGTTCTAATTAATTAAAACTAAGGAGAAATAGAAAAATTATTTCGAATGTTAAATTTATTTTTCACAATGAATGCTATAATTGTGAATTGATGATTATATGTGGATCAATGACCGGTCAGTAATTTCCAATGGTGGATGTTGACTTAGATCAATGTTAGTTCTATTGATTTCATTTAATTCGATAATTTGTGTTTACATTAATTGCTATTTTTGATAATTGTTTGTTTAAAAAATCAAAACCCCCCTTTTAGTTAATTTAGCATAAAAGATAGACTAAACACTCTTTGTGGGATAGACCCTTACTTCCACTACTAGATTAATTTTAAGAAGTATAGGTTTTAATTTGGAGTGCCTACGATAGAACGCACCATAGACTTTTGGAACTAGTGGATCGCCAATTACAACAAATTCAGCAATTAATACAATATAGTGAAAGGGGAGAACAACAAGGAGTTGATGTCACACCCTCATTTACATTGGTATCCGTACATAACCTAGATATAGAATTTCACATATTTTTTTTCCAGTTTGTTAAAATGAGATAATACCTTCACAATTATATCCCTGTTTGCTAACTCCTCATCACCTGTGACGATCATGTAATATGTCGAAACCAAAGTCATATCGCCATAATCCAACATATATATTATGAGATTATAAACATATCTAAAGGCCATGTCAAAAGATATACAACATAGGACCCCCAACATATGTCCCAATATACCATAAACTTAAGATAACAGCCCAAAAATAACCCTACAGGTCATCATCCATGTACATCGAATTCTAGAATCCCGGAAGAGTTCCACAACTAGCCGTGCTCTCTATGTAGTTTCAGGCTTACCTACAATGCAAGAACTACATAAGCCAATACTTAGTAAGCAAAAATATGCATATCATGAATATGAATATCACGATAAAGAAGTATCATATTTCAATATTCATCAAAGTCGACTCGAAATTATTTCGTTTGGTTGGGTCCTTGACCGACTTACTATGCACCGGATAGAGCTCTGCACAATATCAATATTAATAATCAAATGGCCAATATGAAATCAACATCGGCGAGTGGACCATCCTCTCGTGACCACTAGAGGCCCATTCCCTATGATCCCCAAGAAGTATCCCACCCGACAACACCAATTATCATATTATCATAAGGGCATAGTCGTGTGGTCCACCCTCCCGTGATCACCAAAGGCACATCCCCTGTCGACCTTTGTAATCACCCAGGAAGTATCACCCGCGATGGCAAAACATGTCACATAAGCATGGCTCACATGCCTCGGTGCCCTAGAAGTGGTCAATAAAACATTTATAAAGAAAACTCAATTTGAAATCATGTTTCGCATGCAGAATTTTCAACCATGATCACATGTACTGCATGCCGATGAAAATGCTCATGAATGACATGCTTAATGAAAATTGATGTCAGCAAGTTCTGCAACGTCATACTCAACGATCATAATCATCATAAGAATGATAAAAATCCACCTTAATTTCAGTGGTATGTCGTATTGCATTATATAGAGCTTGACAAGATGGTATAAATGGAATACAAATTAATAATTTACAGTGAAATGGAAACTGTGTAAATTAGCCTCCTTCAATTATGTGATAGGCATTGGCATGCTATGGGAAGATTGTGATTAAGGAGTAATATCCTCAATCACAATATTATTTCCAACACCCCGTCGTAAGCTCAATGTCGGATTTGATCGAACATGGAGCTTCGAACAAAAGAGCTCAAATAGAGGTTAAGGAACACTCTGGGTAAAGATATCAGCAACTTGTAGATGAGATGGGACATATTGTGTACAAAGTTTTTCGATGACAACAAGCTCACGAAGAAAGTGGTAGTCCAATTCAACATGCTTGGCCCGCTTGTGTGAAATCAGATTGGAGCTTGAAAAAATGGCACTTTTGTTGTCGCATAAGAGAGTGAGCAGCTGAGGCATATATACATTGAGGTCATGCAGGAGATGTGTGAGCCAAATGAGTTCAGCGACAGTGGAGGCAAGGGCACGATACTCAGATTTGCTGTTGGAACAAGAGACAATCGGTTGTTTCTTGGCACTCCAGGAAACTAAATTGTCGCCAAGATAGATAGAATAACTAAAGGTCAAACGACGAGTATCTAGGCAGCCGGACTAATCAACATCAGAATACG